GGATCATGACCTGAGCCAAAGGCAGTCGCTTAACCAACTGAGCCGCCCAGGCGCCCTGAACATATATGTGTTTTTAAACATATATTTTAGATGTGAATTTGCAGGCGTTTGCCATGCAATCCAATGACATTTTCCCTCTATTTCAGTACAGAGCCTTTGTTTAGTCATGCTATTTTTATTTTGCACAACAAAGACATTCACTGGCTTTGACTTTCTTTTCCTGGTTAGCACATCATATTGGTTTAGTTCAGAGAACCTTATAATCCCTTCTAGGAATAGCTGGCTCTCTTCTTCTCTCTTCTGTTCTTCACCAACCCTTCATTAATCAATAGGGAGATTAAAAGTACATAAGTATAGAAGTATAACAACTTCTAGAGATTACTGGTTCCATTCAACATGTTCTATGAATTATTGGAGAGCTGGAATCAGAGCTCTAGCAGTTGGTTTAGAAGAATGAGAACTTCTGGTCTTTCTAGGAGGGAAAAAGTGCCAGAATCCATGGATAAAGATTTTTGTTGCAAGTAGACTTAGGATAAAGTGAATGAAAGTGGGGATGGATAGGGGAGTGAATTTAGATAGATAAGAGAATTGAAAGATTAAAAGTATGTCAAGAAAGAGGTGAGCAGAATCTTAGGGATTTGGATGAGTGCAGTGTGTGTAAATAAATAGACAAAAATCTCCTAATATTGGCCATCCAAATTCCAAATACATCAACCCAACAGACTGTCATCAATTTTTCACCGACCCTTCTTTTCCACTGTCAGAATGAACTCAATGCCTGTGGAAAAAAATCTTCAGTAATCTGAAAAAGTATAATATCAATGACATAGGTTTTTGTTAGTCTTTTTCTTTTATAAGCTTTAACATAATTTCTTTTCTCTTTTTCATTTTTGTTCTTATAATAACTGGAAGTAAAATCACATTCTCCTTGGTAAATATTAGCACAAAATTTCTCCCACTTACTGAGTTTGCTTGGGGTGCTAGGTGCCCTGCTTGGTTGTTTATACACATTATGTCATCGCATCCTTTAAAAAGCTTTAAGAGGTGAGATTATATTCCCATTTTATGGAATAGGAACCTGAGGCTCAGAGCTGCTAAGTAATTAAAATGTAGGCCCCACGAAGAAAGTGTGGTGTTTTGGGGTTTTTTTTTTTGTTGTTTGTTATTGTTGTCATCGTTTTTAAATTGTCCTGTTTCTGGCATCCAGAACAGTACCTGGCACACAGTAGATACTCAATAAATATTTTTTGAATGTTAAATGATCTTGCTCACACATCTGTAAATATCAAACGAACAGGCTTCTCTGTTCCAAAGTCTGGATCTTTAATCATCTGCTACAAATGCCTCTGGGAGTCTCTTCAACGTGGCTCTTTAAGAGAACTGAGGCAAAAATTTAAACAGGCAACCTGAAATAGGCTGTTTGTCCCATTGTTACTGGTGTGGGCACACCTTTTTATATAAATTCCTGAATATCCTTTTTCTTCCCCCAAAGAAAATAGCATTGTTACTTTTTTTATTGTAAAAATAATGCAAATTCATTGAGAAATAATAATATTAAAAAAGTGTAAAAATTCAAGACAAGGATTAGGGTGAAACAAGGGAAACATTTACCTTTGGTGCAAAACCTAAAGGGGAGGGCAAACACAAACAACATTTTAATTCACTACTTTTAAAAATAAAAGTTAATGCAAAAAATTCCATGATGAACAAAATGTCAAAAATGTACATAAAGGCGAGATCTGTGGGCCGGACAAAGGTGTGGCAAGGGAGGGGCTTGCTCTCCGGGTCATGGGGCGCACAGTCAGATCCTGTCTGTATTTAAGGTCTTGGTATTTTGTTCACCATGGATTTTTTTCCTGCATTGACTTGGAATTTTTAAAAAACTGCATTAACATGTTATTTATTTTGATAATTGAGTTTTGGGGGCTACTTCCTTAAATTTTGCACCTAATCCTAATCCCAAACCTGATAGAAATGCAAGGAGAGGTTGCTCCAAATCAAAGACCACCCCTATTAATGTTTGGTGAACAACTTTTCAAAACATCTGATTTGGCAGGTGTTTTTTTTATCCACGCTACTCCCACCCTTTTGAAATATTTTGTTTTTCACTTTTAATATATAGTTAAGGGAGGGAATAGTGACTACAGAATTGTTTTGAGGGGCCACGCGGCAATCCGTGTTATGGGTATACCGGACTTATTTAATCAACTCCGTTTATTAAATAACACGTCAACAAATATTATTGTACATACTATTTTTTGCCCACTTACCTGATTATTTTCTTGGGATAAGCTCCCAGATTTGGAACTGCTGGGCCAAAGAGGTTGTGCTTTTAAAAGCAATGAAGGCTATTTGGAATCACTGGCTGTTGAATTTCCCCCTTTATGCAAGGTTTACAGAATTTATTTTTTTTTAAATTTTTATTTCAATTCCAGTTAGTTAACATGCAATGTTCTTTAGTTTCAGGTGTACCATTTAGTGATACATCACCTGATGCTCAGGCTTACAGCATTTATTTTTAATGTCTTTCCTTTTCTTTGGACAGGGCCAGGAGACAAAATGTCATCACATTTTTTGCCGATATCACTGGCTCCTGAAGGTAAAGAGGAAATCTGTCGATGAGCTCTTGCTTTGTGCCTGGTACGGTCAGTCTCCACAGTGAATCAGGGCACGTAGCAAAAGGAAAATACCAAATGACAAGCATCAGACATGGCCTTTCTATGTAAAGAGTTTATGAATGGCCTGCTGAGAAGGTTCTCTTCCACTTTTTAATTCCGCAAAGAAAAATCTTCACATCAGAGAGGCAATAAATGGTCATATTTACCTAGATTGCTAGGGAATTTCATAACATAAGACAATTAACTCAATTATTTGTCATAATAAAGGACATGAATAACTACATTTTATCAAAATCTGTCCTCTCCTTTCGTTTTCCAGCCTTTCTCTCCTCCTCCTGCTTCTTTACAAGTAAACAAGGAATTCATATTGATCGGTATAGAAGAATAACTTCTTTGTCACTTACAAATTTGACAAAGCTTTGAACACTGGATAACACCAAGAGTGTGTTACAGGTAACAGGCACTCTGTAGGCACTTTCCATGGGCTCGGGGAAAGTCATGCCATGGATTCTCCCACAGAAACTCCGGAAGGAACCAAGCCAACACCTTCATCTTAGACTTCTGGCTTTCAGGACTGTGAGAGAATCAATGTCTGCAGTTTTAAGGCCCTCCTTTTGTGGTGATTTGTTATAGTGGCCCCATTTCTGTGAGACTAGGAAGTGACTCAGGTGGGGAGAAGGGTTGGCTAAGGGCCAGTGCTTAGAGTGAGTTTATAATTCACTCATTCAGTTTATAATAATTTTATAACAAAAACTTGTTAGAATGGGTTGAAAGTGGTCCCTCCAAAATGGTAGCTCTCTGTGTCCTTACCCCTGCAACGTGACCTTATTTGGCAAAAGGGTCTTTCAAATGTAATTGAGGTAAGGACCTCAAGACGAGATCATCCTGGACTTACGGTGGGTCCTAAATCCTAAATGACACGTGTCTTTGGGAGAAAAAGAAGTCCCTGTGAACACAGAAGCAAAGATTGAAGTTACATGGCCAATGAATGCCTGAAGCCACCAGAAGCTCGAAGAGACAAGGAAGGATTCCCCCACAGAGCCTTTGGAGGGAGCATAGTCCTGCTGACACCTTGATTATGGACTCCTGAACTCCGGGACTGTGAGAGAATAAAGTTCCGTTGTCTTAAGCTGCCAAGTTTATAGTTTATTATAGCAGCCATAGGAAACTACTATACTTGGTGTTTAGAGTTTAGTTTTTTCTATTTATAACCAAAAGGAACTTGGCTTTGGACTTGGAGGGGGAAAAATATCTTGTGAATCCAGGACACTGAAACTTGGTCAGACAGGATTTAAACTCGGGCATTCAAGACTTTAAGCCACCAAGGGTGGGGTGGACAGTAAGTCTGTGAGGTTTATCTTGGGAGGAGAGAGGGTTGGTTGAGGGAGAGACGTCCAGCCTACCAATGATCACCCTTTGGACGGCATCAGTGGTCCCATCCTGGGATGTTGGATCTAGCTCTGGCCTGAGAGTGGTGGTATAGGGTCCAAGTCATGAACTCTGTATGCCTCTCAACCCCAAGTCCCTTTTGGTCTTTGACTTCTGTTGCCTCCTCCTGGGCCTCAGCCTGTTGGCTATGCCCTTCCATACTCCTGCTGTCTCCAAGCCCAGCTGCCTGGACCCACCCTCACCTGTCTTTGCTCATGTATTATAAGGCCTAAGATTTCATGTATTGCCTTGGCATCTTTGAGCCTCACAGAGCCACAAAGACCTAACTGTAAGTCTTCCTGTTCTTGCCAGATTTGACTTCCACCCAGTGAGACACGTTCCCCACCCAGCAATTTCCCCATCAGCTGGACCAGTTATACTCTACTGGTTTTCATCCTGATGGGTTTCACAAGTCAGTTACATCCTCTTGGGGGAAGCAGGGGGCACCTCACCCTCTCGTTACTACAAAGCCTGCTTCCTGCCATCCCTCTGTTTCACTCTGTTCCTGACGTGGCCCTGCATGGCAGGTGGTGTCCTCCTCCCCAGGGCTTGAGTATAAGTGACTAATAAACCGCTATCTATCTCATCAGTCCAGAGTGGAGTGTCATATGTTCGGTCATCTCATACTATTTGGGGCAGGGGATCCTTCCTTTACCCACAAGGTGAATCGGAGGTGATCAGAACACCGCACACTCCGTGTTGAGCTCAAAGCTTCCACTCTGCAATTTTCTTTCTCCCTAACCTATTACCTACAGATAAACCTGCCTGAGGTTTCTATCCCAGACATTCCCCACTTTCCCAACTGAATCCCTGGGCAAACAGCCAATTCTCAGTCCATTTTAGAACATTTTTGTCATCTCAGAAAGAAACCTTGCACCCCTTAGCCATAACCCCCTATCTCCCCTCCAGCCCTAAGCAACCACTAATCTACCTTTTGGCTCCATGGATGTGCCTATTCTAGACATTTCATGGAATATAATGGAATCTTATAATGTAGGGATTTCATGTGGCTTCTTTCACTTAGTATAATATTTCCAAGTTTCATCAGTCTTAGAGTATGTATCCTTCGTATGTCTGATTAATATTCCATTGTATGGCTATACCACATTTTGTTTATCCATTCATCAGCTGATGGATATTTGGGTTGTTTCTATCTGTTGACTATTATGTATAATACTGCTATAAATATTCATGTACAAGTTTTCATGTGGACATATGTTTTCATTTCTAGGAGTGGAATGGCTGGGTCACATGGCAACTATATGCTCAACTTTTTGAGGCTGCTTTCCAAAGTGGCTGCATTATTTTGCATTCCCATTAGCAGAAGGTTAAGATTCCAATTCCTCCACACCCTTGCCAATACTTGTCATTATCTTTGTTTTTTTTGGTTTTTTTTTTTTGGATGACTCTCTAGTATGGACCGAGGATGTCCCTAAGGGTAGTGGCTGTGTCTATTGCTACCAAAAGGGTGGTGTAATGGTAATAGTACATATATTTGTAGCGATGGGAAGAAGCAAAATCTTAATGCCTCAAAATATGATCCCACTATCCTGTAATAGGCCCCCTTATCTATTCACATAACAAATACAGACTCATTCCCCCTGAAGTATTAAGCACTGTACTTGGTGCCATGGGAAACAGACAGATGAGCTGTGTCTTTGGCCCTTGAGATCCAGGCCCTGAATCTCTACCTCAATTGGAGAGGCAGAGGCTGCCTGTGTCCTCCTCCCAGAGACCCACCTATCCACCTGCTCCATTCTGGCTGGTGGAAGCCTTGCCCTTCTGGTCAACAGAGCAGGGATGACAGATGTTTTTCTTTTTCTTTTTTTTTTTTTTTAACAGATAAAGGAAAAGATGACTCAGTCAAAAAGGACAAGCCATATAAGATCTTTTTCAAAGATCTGTTTCTTTTCAAAGAAAATGAAATGGCAGCAAAGAAAAAGGTAAAGTTTGATTAAAAGCCCAATCCAAATTAATGTTAGAAATTTATCCTCTTATCCATCACTTTTATGAACTTTGCTGGGTTAAGACAAGGGGTCAGGTGTGGGTGTATGCATCGCACACTATGCTGGGGTGTAAGCACGTACAACAGGAACAACATCCAGCCCATGGTAAGGACCTAATGATCACTGCCCCCTGGGGGAAGACAGACACACTGTGACCATCACATATGACAAGTATGGTAGATCCCAGTTCATTGATTCTAATGCCCATAATTTTTTCACATTTTCTCATTCCTGAAATTGGGATCCAGCTTATATAGATGGGTTGCCATGCATAATTAGCAGTGCATAAAACAATAGTGCATCTACAATAAATGGTATCTTAAGAGTTGATAAAATACAGTAATAGAGCAAAGGACATGTAGAGAAAGGAGTGACCATCTTTGTTGGAGAGAAGGATAACTGTGGTGGTGGTGTGTATGTGTGTGTGTGGTTGTCTCTGTGCACGCACGCACACAAAGACTTAACTGAAGACATAGCCAGAGCTGAATTGTTAAGAGTAAGTTAAAATTTGCCAGCCAGATACAGATAAGAGAATGTATATGTATGTATTAGGGAAGAGGGGCAGAGAAGGAAGTAGGAACAAAAGTGGAGGAGGGAGTCATTTTAGAATTATTTGGTATGAAGCTAAACCAGAGATGAGGCTAACAAAGCTGTGCTTTGCAGTTAATCTCACTACTTATATTATTATACCATTTATTACATGATTTGAATTTCAAGAGGTTTGCTTTCCTTATTTCTAGAGGTAAAGATTGATCCTATTTAAAATGAAGAAACTAGAAATGCTCAATAACAGATTCATCTGTAAGGTGAAGGTTTTATGCTTGTGTTAGTTTTATTGAAGGTGTCCAAAATTAAATTGAGCAAAGATTCATGAATTTAAAAAAGGCTGATTTATTTATGTCTACTGGGGAGGTCCATTTCCTCTCAAGTTTTCAATTCAATTCCACAGAACCAGTCCTTTCAAACCAGTGGAATTTCCAAGTTACCTGCAGCTGGGCAACACAAGGATTAAAAAATAAAAATGAAAATAAAGCCAGAACACTTTTCAGGCTAGTATTTATGAGGTACATGTTTAGTAAATATTGCATGTCTTTATATTTGTGCTCAGCTTCATAAGAGAAGGAATTGCAAACTATACCCGGTCCCTCAGAGATTAAGAACTCAAAGTCGCTTGTTTAATGTATTAGTAATGAGAAATTTACTAGTAATGAGGAAGAGACTTATTTTGTAAATGATATTTTTATATCTGATTACTATTTTTAAAGACAACATTATTTTGTTATATTAGAAATTCTTTTAAACTTTTGCACTTGGGCAGGAAAAAATTATGAACCGCAGCATGAAAGTCTACCAGAAGTCTACTTTTTCATCTCGAATGAAGAGTCGTTCACACCTGGGCCAAGTAGCATTCTACTCTGACACAGCTGGGGGCTCATTTGAAAAATTTGGGCTAGATCCCACTCTTATTCTAAGATTAACAGAAGGTAAGTCAAGATTACTGTTTAAGAATATTGTTTTGAACATTTACTGTTGATGTCAGGTTTAGGGGCTTTCCTGGAGGTAAAAAAAAAAAAAAAATAGTATGCTGTCTCATACTATGGTTGGGGGGAGGTACTCTGTAAATGGAAACTGAGAGTCGGGACAAAATCTATTTTAAATAAGAAAACATACTTTTCCAAGAAATAGATTGTTACTCATTTTCATGGCTCTAAGGAAGAAAGTCATTGCCAAAATGATACAGTATTAAAGGTTATGGCTAAGGCCATTTAAACTCATTTCTAAATGTAGAAATATATAGAAACTCTCTAAAGACAAGTGTTTATTTTCCACGCCATACAGCTCATATATCCAGAATCAGGAAGCTAACAGAATTAAATAAGTTTTCCTGTTGTTGCAAAAACACAACCTGTTTTAATGGCACTTGAGAGCAGCATGATAAAATATTACAGGATATTAATTATTGCTCTATGAAAAGGAACAATATGTTAATCAAAAGGTCATGGACTTTTCTTACTTACCAGATCAAGAAATGCTTACAAATGAGACAGAAAGCAGTTTGAAGTGAGGTTGAAGTGATTAATGCTAGGATAATGGGGTCATAAAATCTTCCCCCAAGATGAGTCTTGTCTAAATTTTTAAGTTAAAATTAAAAAGTAAGGAAGAAAGGAAGGGAAGAAGGGAGGGAGAAAGATATATTGCGTGCCCAGGATTTGCTGTGATAACTTAAAAATTGGGTAACTTTGCCAAACTGTGATTAAAAAAAAAATCTTCAGAGAACAACAAAAAAGAAACACTTGGGAAAGAACTTTGGAGTCAATAATTAGTGTAGAAGAGGGAAGCCATGTTAACTTTTTTAGATCTTGGAGCTGCATATTCTGCACTATAGTTGTATGCAGAAGTGCAAATGTCAGCAGCATGGTAGTATCAGTGACTATACCGCGGATAGGATACAGCTAGGTTCAGTCTTGTGTCTCATAGTTCACCTCTGTAGAATGGTGAACCCTAAGTCATCAAGGGCACTTAAAATACATGACATGTTTTAGAGTTCTACACAAAGCGGCTAGCTTCAAAAATCCTTGCCACTACCACTTCTGAGAGAACTAGCAAATATGGCTTTGCAGATGACCTGACTCGACACCAGGCTGGGCGACAGAGGGGTTACTGGTCTCTTAACAGTAAATGGCATACAGTAGACTCTTAAAAAGGAAATGGTAAAACTGTTTGGTATTATCCAAGACAATCTGGGCTCTGTCAGCAATGGAAATCAGGTTGTCAGTTTCTGCTGATTACACAGATAAGCAATTTAGACATTTTCACTGAAAATAAAGAAATCCCCCTCAGACTCTTTCGAATTGTGAGTTGCTTTGGTTGAAACCCCCATTTCCCAACCTTACATTTCCTGCCTAAATTCTGATTAAAGACAAGCCTACGTGATGTGAAATGGGCAAGTGACCCCTACTTTGGGAGCCCAGTTATTTTATGTTTGTGTATGCAATAGTAGGCAACTACTAGATCACCTCAAAGAAATTACACAGGTAACTGTCACAGACAGATGGATTAGGCTGCAAAGTAGAAGTGCCCCCTCCAGGCAGCCGGCAGCTTGACTGTGGTTTTACTCTCAAAGAGCAACAAACACCTCTGGATCACATCCCCAGTGAGTGGTGAGGTACTCTGGTGTTGAGGAACACTAGTGCTTGGAAGACAGTTTTGTCATACACGGTCTCTTTGTTAAAAAACCTTCCAGATAGCTAGAAGAGCCAAAATGGGAAACCCACTATAACCAGTCTATTTAGACTTGAAGAATAAAATCACATCAACTCAGCCAGATAGTATCATGTTAAAGTAGCCTGAAATGGTAAGCATGACTATAATATTTAGCAAATGGACAGTACAGGATTTTTTTATATTGAAATGTATTCCAATTCATGTGACCCATCGTAAGTGACCAAATGAAAGCTACAGTAAGCACTTTCATGCTTCTTTTCTACTAAAAATATTTTTAAGTAAATTGAACCTGAATCTGATCAAGCAAACATGGGAGACTGAGCACATGCTAAATAATACCATGACGATGCAATCTGCCAGGTCCATTAAACAGGAAATTCTACAGGGAAATTGGTCTGGTTTTTGTTTTTGGTTTTTAAGAGAGGGAGAGAGGGGGTGGGGTTGGGGCAGAGGGAGAGGGAGAGAGAGAGAGAATGCTAAGCAGACTCCAAACCCAGTGCAGAGCCCAGTGTGGGGCTCGATCTCATGACCTGAGCCAAAATCGACCACCCAGGCACCCCTGATTTGGTTCCTTAAACCAATAAATGGCATGGAAAAATGGTAGAGTTTGGGAGGAGGTAAGGGATGGCAGTTATAGGTAAAAAACTGACTTTAGGAGTTATACCAACCAAACTGATCTTTGTTTAGATTTTAATTTTTTTAATTCTAAAAAGTTATTTTTGAGACCACTGGGGAAGTTTGAACCCAGACTAAGTATAAGATGATACTAAGGAATTGTTCATTTTGTTTGGGATGATAGTTGTATTATGGCTATGTTTTAAAACTTTTTTATCTGATAAATAAATACTAAAGTATTTATGGATTAAATGATAACGATGGCTTGGATTTGCTTTAAAATGTTCCAGTGAGGGGGAAACTGAGGGGTGACAATAGATGAAACGAGAGGTAAGATGTTGATTGTGTTGAAGTAGGTGAGAGGTACAGACAGTTCATTTTATGGCTCTAATTTTATGAATGTTGAGGATTTCTATAATAAAAAGCTTTTATGTGTTAAAAAGAAAACCATTATAACTAGGTGCTTATTACTTTCACATATATTATCTAATCCTCAACAAAATGCTATTAGATATTTCTGTCTCTTCTCCTCTGATGAAAATGGCTCAGTGAGATTGAATCACTAATTAAAGGTCACTAGGTGGATGCAGAATTCAAACCAATGCCTGTCTGACTCCAAGGCTTGTTGTTTGTCACCCATAATTACAGAACTATTTTTTAATGATTAAAATAATCATTTTATTGCTGCTATTATTATTGACCTGGAAAAATTAAGTGTTTACTCATTCAAATTGTATTTTTAATAATAGCTAACAATTGTTAAGAAGTTATGATGTGTTGGGGTACCTGGGTGGCTCAGTCAGTTAGGCGTCTACTCTTGACACACTGGGTGTGGAACCTGCTTAAGATTCTCTCTCTCCCTCTCCCTCTGCCCCTCTGTGTTTTATAGCATGTTGCTTCACTTCCTTCTCACAATACCACTATGAGATAGAGATAATAGCAATGACCCACTTAGACTGATTTGTGCTGTGCTCATAAAGCATTCCTAAATTTCAGTGCCTTGCAACAACATAAGTTTGTCATTCACCTTTCAACGTTGGTGCTTTTCAATGTGTCCTGCACTGAAGGATCAACCCCTGACTGCTATGTTGCTGGAGTTATGGCAGAGGGAGGAAGAGGGAACCAGTGGTGGTTCTTACAACTTATGCTTGGCAGCCACACAGGTCACTTCCACTGGCATTCTGTGAGCCAAATCAAGTCAATGGTCAAGCCCAATACCAGTGAAGAGAGGGAGAGATAATCTTCTTCCAGGCAGGGGCAGAAAATAGTTTGGAACAATAATACAATCTACCACTATTAGGATCCTCATTTTTACAGACAAGGAATCTCATGGCTAGTAAGAGGCGGAGGCGGAATATGACCCAAGGAGACTGTGGGCTCCCCAGTGCAGCATGGGCTCACTGGTTATTTGGGAAACACTGTTTTGTTTCTACTTCTATTTATGTTTTAATCAAGAGACTTTGTTCTATACCACATTCTGTTGGTTTTTCATGAAGCGAACATTGTTGAAATGCAGCCCACGTGTAATTTTTCCAGAACGAAGAAACCTTGAAAGGAAACTTTGGTCTTTTTTTATTGCTAGATGGTAAAGCTAGTTGTCATCTTTTTCTTTCATGCCGTAAATTTGGTTTGTGATCCCCACACGCATTTTGCCAAAAGACTTCGGTTTTATATCCAGATTGGCCAAAACAGTAAGATTTAAAACAGCTCGGTCTCCTTCAGCACAGGCTTAGGAATCATATGCCCCTTCTGCCACGTGTTAGCTCCGTTATCTTGGGCAAGCATCTTGACATCTCTGAGCTCACATACAGGATGGTACAGAAATATGTACCTCATTGGGGTTATTGTTAGGATCAAATAAAATGATTTATTTAAAGTGTCTAATAAAGTTCTTGGAATTTGATGGACACAAAATAAATGGTAATTACTATTATGAAATTAGTTTTTTAGTGATTAGGAAAAAAGTTTACTTGAAGAGATAGTGGTTTTTTAAGTCAGATACATGCCAAATACAGTAATTTAATTACATAGCTTTTATTTTATAGAAGCTCTTGAGGGATAATGAACTAAACCTAAGTCTATTTCAATTTTCTTTGAAGGTACGGACACAAAAAGGACTATTCATGAATTTATTAATGACCAGAGAGACCGGTTTCTGCTGGAGGTAGTAAAAATAATTTCTTTCTCCCATTAGTCAAACAGAAGACCTCTGGCAGAGCATTGCCAAATTTTCACCTTGACAGTTTATTTTTTCATTACATGCTCCAGATCTATTGCCCCTCTGATCCTTTCCTAAACAACTTCAGTTGGGCTTTTGTCCTCATCATTCCACCAAAACTGCTTTTGTCAAGGTTCTCAGTGACCTTCCCATTGCCAAGTTCAAATCGTCACCTCACGGTCTTCCTTTTCCTTCTCCTTCCGCAGCAGTTAGCTCACTCGGTCACTTTCTCTTTCTTGAAATGTCTTCTTCAGCTGGTTTCCAGGACCCACAGTCTCGGTCCTTCCTCATCACTGGCTGCTTGCTTCCTCACAGTTTTCTTTTCTTCTTCTTCTCCCTGACCTCCAAATGTTGGAACGCCCTCGGACTCACTCCTCGCCCTGTGCTTATCTACCCTCCTCCAGGCCCATGGCTCTAAATTCCACTTTCCCCATTAACAACTTCCAAACTTATTTCTCTACCCTGATCGTCTTCCCTGAACTCCAGACTCACAAAGGCAACTGTAGTTCTTAACATCTCCACTTAGATGCCCAGTAGGCACCTCAGACTTCCCATTTCCAAAGTTTTGCCCCTCTATACTCTTCATTACCCCTGCAAATCTGCATCTCATGCAGTGCCCCCATCGCAGTGAGTAGTGATTTCATTTTTCCAGTTGCTTAGGCCAAAAACGTTGGAGCTATCCTCAACTCGCCTACCTACAACCCACATCCAAATATACTTTCAAATGTATTTTTTTCCCAATATATCCATACTCACACTGCTTTTCATGACTTCGCCTGCTACCACTGTAATCCACGTCACCAGTATCACCTGCGTGAATTATTGTTATAACTTCTGAACACTGCTCTGCCTCCACTTTTGCTCCCTACACTCAGTCTGTTCTCCACATGTGCCCCTCCTCTACTGACGACCTCTGGTGACTTTATCTGGCCCCTGGTTCCCTGGTTGTTATTTCTTTAAAATGATCTCATTTACATATTTTAAATGCATTTATATTATAATGTATGTGACTTTATTTATAATTCCTTGTTCATGCATGGCATTAAAAACCATAGTGAACTCTTATGGTCTGTAACTAAAAAAAATAAATAAAAGCTAGATATCAAAGTTGTATTTGGGGATTTACCCAGGGTTCTTGAAGGCTGGTTAAACACTCCTACCCTCGGGCAGCTTGGAGGAATGTGTCACAGGTATAGCAGGATGCAAACCTCATTCTCCGGTGCGCCTTCCTAATGGAGGCGGCTTTGCCACTGCGGACGACAGCCCAATTTCCCAATGCCCAGAAATACTGGAGATATATTGTGGGTAATACCAGGTAGACCTCCTCTTTGGAGAGATACGTAGTTTTTTGTTTTTGTTTTTTACTTTTATTTTTTAGGATAGAGCCTGAGGGGTATGTAGCTACTTTTGATTTGTGGGACAAAGCCATGTTGGAACAATATTGAGCCTCTTCATAAAAGTGAAAGAGAGGAATTAGTCTCCCTTCTAATGATCCCCAAATAAATTCCTTCATAAAACAAAGGCTATCGTCTCAAGACTTGGCATGCTATTATTTCTAATACATGTGATCTCTTACTATGCAAGTTATTTTCCCTTTATTATGAGACTGTTGAAATGTACTAGCAATGAGCTGGAAATGTGCCATAATGTGCACTTCTGTTTTCAATATTCCTAGTATGCCCTGTCAACCAAAAGAAATACAATTAAAAAGTTTGAAAAACACATGGTGGCGAAGGAACGGCAACTCACAAGAGCCGAAAAAAAGCTCCAAGAAGATGCAATGGCCTTTGAAGAGTTCCTTCGAGAAAATGACCAGAGATCTGTAGATGCTCTTAAAACGTTCGTTTTTTTTCACTCTGGCCAAATTGCCTTTTTCCCTCCCTCTTTCTTTTTAGTTTCTCGGAATACAACACAACATAAAACAAACTAACAAATCCCCGTTACTTTTCAGTGCAGCACAGGAAACTATAAACAAACTCCAAATGACAGCAGAACTGAAGAAAGCCAGTATGGAGGTGCAGGCGGTGAAAAGGTGAGCCCAGGGCACCATCTTTTCCTTCTCGAATGTCCCAGCCCTGGTGAAACCTATATGTGCCTAGCCAGACCTACGTGGGAATATTCCTTAACAGTTGATGACTTCCTAAGTATGACCTCATTTTTAAATAAGTAATCTGTCGATCAAGGTCGTTCTGTCTCTGCCTGGTTATCAGAGTACAGTGACCTCTGGCTGAAAAATTTCTGTAACTTGTCAGTGTAGAAGCCTAGAAACTGGTTGAAAAGAAGCAAGCCAATGTTAAAAGTAAACCATAAATTATTTTCTAAGTGTCCTCTTTCATTTGTTCGAAGGCATATTTCTTTCCACATTTTAACATCTCTGAAATTGGGATTCATTTTTACAACTACCTCTCAACTATAATTGGCACTTCCACTTAGTTGAACCTAGAATTGATATTAAAAACCAGGATTTATAATGACAAAAATTACAGGAAGGAGAGTTGGGATAAAATTATTATAACCCCCACCACTCTTTTTTTTTTCTTTCAAGCCCGGATGTTTTCTTCTGTGGTCAAGTGTATCTCACTTGGTCTAATTTTAAGTATCTAAAGAAGCTTCCTTCTATCATCATTCTTGGACAGGAATTTCATGACAAAAACTTGTTTTGTTTTTTCTTTTTGAGGATTTGATACTTACCTTTCCTCTAAAACCAAGTCCTAGAGTTTTCGGAGAAGAGGACAACTTGTCTAAAATACAGCAAATGAATTGGATGGTAGTTTCTTAGAAACCAATTGTTACTAACAGAATGTGTGTTTTCAAACACATTCTGGCTACAGAGAGCCTCTTCTATTGTAGGAGCCTAAAGTTGAAGGCATTCCAAGGTGGAGAATTCCCTTCCTTCCTTCACTCCATCATGTAATTAGAAGATTCTGTTCTATTTGTAGAACAAGAGCAGTAGCCTCTAGGCTTGCAAAGAGTATTATATTTATGCACAATGGCCACCCAGTAAACAGCCTTGCTAAAAAGAACTTGCTTAGTGTATATGTGTCTCATCATCCTAGAAAGGAGCAAAAAGTCATGAAAAACAAGCTGGGAAACAGCACAAAGGATACAGGCGCCTGCTATTTATTTCCTTTTTCTTTCTTTCTTTATGGGCTTGAGATGGCCCAGGAAGGTCGTCCACTGCAGGTAGGGCTGGAAATCTGTTTACAAAGGGGAAGGGAGCTTGTTCTGAAGCTTTTGCTTGGAAGTTGTCCAATGCTAGCCATTTTAACCCTGTTCTTGTAACACCTCTGGGAGGCTTTCAATCTAATAACAAAGTGGTAGTAGAATGAGGGGCTCCCAACATCCTTCAGTGTGATACGTGAGCCAGCTGATTATTGACTCTTGAATCTCACGCTCACATCAGGGCTGAAGGAAGGCACTGCCTGAAAGAAGTACCGGAGCTGAAGATACTGGTGTAGGAGTAATATTGATAAGGGTATTGAAGATGGTATGATTAAGGACGCCTGGAAGGATATGGGTGGACCACCCTTTCACAAGGGACTTCATTGTTATTGTAAACATTCCTTCAAGGTCCACTTTGTAACACGATTATGGGAAAGCACTGTGAGGCTGGCGAGAGGCTTTCAGGCCAAGTCCCTGGATATTGGTGGCGAAAGCTTGGGCATCTGAGTCAGCCAGACCCGGGTTTGAGTGCCGGCTCTGCCATTTAGTAGACAGATGACTTTGCAAGTCATTCATTTCTTCTTCCAAAAGATGGGAATTATACCAACTGTAAAGTGCTATACAGAGAATGAAATGGTACTCTGTCGTGCGTCCATAGTAGGTGCTCGTGGGTGTTTTCTTTATTCTTCTCACAAAAGTACCATCTTCTGCTACCTTCTAATTTCTTCCTATGTCTAAAATTTAATATGACATTTCCCTCAGGAATAAATGAGTAAAACTATCATCAGTCTATTCCATGTGTGTATATCCTTGGCATGTTTTATTCAAATAGCACTCCTATGGGTTTTTTTCTTCTCATTTTATCTTATTGATGCCCATATTTTTATGACCCTACTTAACGATTTTTGTTATGTAAATTATTATTCAAATACATAATCAAGGGAACAAATTTTGTGAAACCTTTTTTTTATGAACATGCCTTCACATGGATACTTCTAATGATATCTTCATTTCTTTTGAGTAGTGAGATAGCAAAAACAGAATTCCTCCTTAGAGAGTACATGAAATATGGATTTTTTCTGCTGAAATTGTCTCCAAAACACTGGCAAATCCAACAAGCGCTGAAAAGGGCGCAGATGACAAAGAGTAGAGAGAGTATGAATGTCAGTCTTCCAGTACTAACAAGTGAGTCACATATTCTTAATTTCAATTAAGTAAATAGCTCTAATTCTCAAATATTGTTTCAATATTTATTTGTTTGTTATTTATTAAACAGTCAGAATTCCTATTTTAAGCAGAACCTGAACAAGGATTCCCACTATCTCTGATATTATTTTTTTAAGATTTAATTAATTAATTTATTTAGAGAGAGCGCGAGTGTGTGCAGGAGCGGGAGGGGCAGAGGGAGAGAATCCCAAGTAGGCTCCTTGCTGAGCATGGAGTCCAATGTGGGGCTCCGTCTCAGGACCCTGACTGAGATCATAACCTGAGCCAAAATCAAGAGTCAGTTGCTTAACACACTGAGCCACCCAGGTGCCCCAGTATTACTAATCTTTTAAAGTATTATATAATATATTATCAGAGTCTCAGAAATTAACACCGCATGGTACTGGTATTAGGAAGTCAGCTCAATGGACCAAAAATAGATCTATTATATATAAGAATCAAGTAAGTGATTAAATGGGGTTACAAATCAAAGAGGAAAACTACCACTTCTAGCAACATTTGGGTAACATGGACCAGACTTACCCTCCTGCCTAAAAAAATCTGAAAAATATATGAAGCAATAGGTTTCAGGCATCAGGCACCAAGAAGAGAAGCAGAACGATCCATGAGAGAGGAGAGACAAATGAGATGAGCCAAATGATGGCCTCAGCATAGTGCCTGGGGAGCATTTCCAGGATGCAGCAGAGGGAGGACGAGCCCAGCAGTCCCCATGAATTGCAAGGACAGAGCTAAGGGTGTAGGGAGGCTGGAGTTCCCAGAGCAGAGTACTGGAGAAGAGAGAGCTACACAGAGAGTTCTCTGCAGAGTCTTCAGCTGAGAGGTGATCCTGAGACTCTGGGGTAAGAGCATTTACCCCATAGAAGCCAGTAAACTGCAAACCAGGGAGAAATCTTCCGGAGAGGCGATGGTTAAACAGTTACCAGCACAGTAGTGATGGCTGTCACAGCTCACTTTGCTGTGGCTGAATTAGATCATTTGTACATGACTATTTTGAGTAGTGAGCACAATGATGGCACCTGGTTAAACTCAATACACTGACAAGAGAGAAAACCTATAGAAAGGAAAATCAGGAAGTAATTGCATTTAGCAGCTTAAAATTCAATGCCCCTAGACTTGTCCTTTAACTAGAGGATGCTCAGAAAGCAATGAGTCCCTCAGTCCAGAGGAGTGAATGGCTGACACGGGGATTATAGAAGTTATCAGGCTATTGACTGATGCAGGAAATAGAGACCTCCTCATGCCCTGCAGGTCAGTTCCCCTCCATTCTGCCTGGTCCAGAGACCAGCCCTTGCCGTCAGCATCATACATTTGCTTGTTACAATGTCCCCATCCTATATTTCTGTCCTTGTAAGTTTTCACAGTAACTCTACCTTCACCATGAGACAAACCTCTCATTCTTAGAAGTGTTCTCCCCCCATCTCTCTCCCTTTTGTTTTCATTTCTAGAATTAAATACAACGAAAACAGAGGGCAGTAATGAGGATGCCGGGAAGGTATCATTTTCAGATGACTATTACATGGAAAGAGGTCGCCAAGGTAACACCAGAGATTTGGGACTTCATTCACAAAAGTAAAACCAGAGAAGGTGCCCATCTCGAATTGGAAATCTGGGACCTATGAGCTAACCTGGAAAACAAAAGGTGGTGTCCACATCACCCGTAATCCTTGGGAGCTAGGAATTCCATCTCTTTCTCTCTGACATGATTACAAGACTTGGAGAGGATGAATGGACAGGACAGGCACAGAAATCAGAGGCAGAGAACCTGGCACAAGTCATCCCCTCCACAAGATGTAACAATTCAAATGTCCACCATTTTTATTTTTTGCCTTGATTTTTAAAAGTCTGTCATTACATATGAAATATATATGGTTAGGTAAAAAAAGAACCATGATTATATTATATTTCACAATTTATGCCCCTGATTTGGGACTATCAATAGTTATATCATGTTTTTGACAATATGTACCCTGCACCGCACCC